GCGTTACATGCGGTAAATTTCAATCCATTACTCCACAACCTTTCCCAGTCCTCAAACATGATATTATACCCAATGTCCTGTGCCCACCTTATCATAGCCGATTTAACCGTTTCATCTTGTGTATTCCATTCTAACAGCAAGTTATACATCCTTGATAGTACCTTAATCTTTGGTTCTAACAATTCTGTTTCTAGTTTCGATTTCTCCACCTGGAACCCTAATTTCTTATCATTTTTAAAAACTTCTTTAATCTGAGCGTAATGTAACCAATCTCGCACTTTGTCTTTCATTTTCTCCAAACTCTGCAATTTCCAATTGTCTCCATCCTTTTCTAGTATTTCCCAGTATTTTGGCCATTTAGCCTCCATATTGGGTCTTTTCGGACCTTAGCTTCTAGTGGTGAAAGCCACCTGGGAGTTCTATTTTCCAGCAAGTCTTTATATTTTGTCCAGACATTAAACAGTGATTTTCTGACAATATGGTTCTTAAAGGCCTTATTTGCTTTAACCTTGTCATACCATAAATATGCATGCCATCCAAAAACATTATTAAACCCTTCCAGGTCCAACACATCAGTGTCTTCAAGAAGTAGCCAATCTTTTAGCCAGCAGAACGCTGCGGCTTCATAATACAACTTTAAGTCTGGCAGGGCAAAGCCCCCTCTTTGTTTTGCATCAGTTAATATCTTAAACTTAATTCTGGGCTTTTGCCCTGCCAGACAAACTTAGAAATATCTCTCTGCCACTTCTGAAAGCACTCCGTTTTGTCCAAAACCTGAAGTGTTTGAAATAAAAACAACATCCTTGGCAATACATTCATCTTAATAGCAGCAATTTGGCCTAACAAAGAGAGTTTCAATTTTGACCAACTATCTAAGTCTCTCTTAATTTCTGTCCAACATTTTTCATAGTTGTCCTTAAATAGACTTAGATTTTTGCTGTTATATTTACCCCTAGGTATTTTACTTTTTAACCACATTAAGTTCCGTCTCATTCTGAAACCGTTCTGACTCTGTATCTGTCAAATTTTTCCCCAAAACCTTGGTTTTCTGTTTATGAAAGCTCATCTGCAACCACACGGGCGAGGCCGGTGTTTGTCCACAGACAGTTTTTCCGGGTCATGTGGCCAGCATGACTAAGCCGCTTCTGGCGCAATGGAACACCGAAACCAGAGCAGTGCACGGAAACACCATTTACCTTTCCTTCGGAGCGGTACCTATTTATCTACTTGCACTTTGATGTGCTTTTGAACTGCTAGGTTGGCAGGAGCTGGGACCGAGCAACAGGAGCTCACCCCGTCACAGGGATTCGAACCGCCAACCTTCTGATCGGCAAGCCCAAGAGGCTTAGTGGTTTAGACCACAGTGCCACCCACGTCCCTGATGTCTGTGCATAGATACTCCAAACCTGTTTTTTTGTGTGATGGCTTTGCTCTATGCTTGGTTTTGCATTTTAATTTAAAAACAAAAAACAGAATAAGGAAAAAAGAACCCTGAACATCTAAAAACATGTCAAACCCAGCACCTTTTATCATATGTGGTGGAATTGTAAAGTAATCAAAAAATTCTGGGAAATGATATATAATGAAATGAAAAAAAATGTTTAAATTAATCTTTGTTTAAAAAAACCAGAAGCTTTTTTATTAGGAATTATAGGTACCGAGATCCCAAAAGGTCAGAAAAAAACTTTTCATGTATGCTGCTACGGCCGCTCGGATGCTGCTGGCCCAGAGATGGAAGGAAGAGACGACCCCAACCAAAGAAGACTGGCAAATCAAATCGATGGACTATGCAAAATTAACTGGGAAGCTCAGGGACCAAGAAGACAAGAAATTTAAAAGAGAATGGGAAATGTTTATAATATTTATACAGAATTATTGTAAACAGGCCAAAACATTAGCAGGATTCTAAATACACTTGCAATGAAACAGAAAATATAGATTACTTAGCAAGATGGGGAAAATAGAGAAGTATTGATATGTAATTGAAAATAGAATTAAGTGGAGCCATGGATGGGATGGGGGGGGGGAATCAGGAGTTTCAGGGTAATCTCAATACAGTGATACCTCGGGTTAAGAACTTAATTCGTTCTGGAGGTTCGTTCTTAACCTGAAACTGTTCTTAACCTGAGGTACCACTTTAGCTAATGGGGCCTCCCACTGCCGCCATGCGATTTCTGTTCTCACTCTGAAGCAAAGTTCTTAACCCGAGGTACTATTTCTGGGTTAGCGGAGTCTGTAACCTCAAGCATCTGTAACCTGAGGTACCACTGTATGTGGAATTTGTATGCTCTTTTGATGTAAGTTTGTCTCCTTCTTTTTTCTTTTCTCTCTCTTTTCTTTCTTTATCTTTGAAAATATAATAATAAAATAAAATAAATAGTTAAAAACATGTCAGACCCTCCCACCCAGCATCACCCAACAAATTTGTGACACAAACCGCCAGAGAGGGAAGTGGAGGCAGTCCGCTGCTTTTTTAGAATTCTATAGGGCATCGCGGTGTTAATCTAGTTAACAAAAAAAAGAAGAGAGCCCACGTTCCATTTTAAGACAAGGAAATTGGGAGCCCTTGCCAGGCAGGCAGCCTGCTGTGGCGACTGCCCCAGCGATGCGCGGCCGGGTCAGAGAAGATGCTCCGCCAGGGGGGCTAGCCTCCGATCACCCAGCTCCCCGAGTGACCCAACAGCCTTTTCGTTTGCTGCCCCTGTCACTCGGAGCGCGGAGGACAGCGACCATATGCCTCCCGACCTCCCCCTTGCTTTGCCGGGGAAGATTTGGCCTGCTGGGCATTTCCTATCAGAATGGCTCAAAAGATAGATGCTCCGATGTGGCCCTGCTAGCATCACATTCTTATGGCACTGTGTGTGTCTGTGTGCGCTGATCTCAGGCAGAAGGCAAAGGGGAAGGGGAGGAAAAAATGTGGGTTTCTTTTCCGTTGCTGTTTTTGCAGGAGGGAAGGGCGGCAGAGCTGCCAAAGAGCCGAGGGGTGGAGCAGGCATCTTGGTGTGTACAGAGCTGGCTGGGGCTGCAGAAAGCTTGATGAGCCCAGGGGGGGTCCTTCCTCCCACCTCCAGAGATGCTCTGATGGCAGTGATGGGATGGCTGACTTGGTAGCTGGTGGAGCAGCCTTCATTGTTGTCCTCGACAACACTGGCAGGGACGAGGAGGAGGAGGAAGTGGTGGAGGGGATGGTGGTGGATGCCTTCTGGCCACAAGCACAAACATGCAAACACCAATTGGAGGGAGGGGGAAAGGGAGAAGCTCCCCGTCGCTCCCAGCTACTGGTTTGATAGGGGCTGTTCCATGACACTTGCTCATCTCCAGTTCTCCCCCGACCAGTGCCTGCTTGCTCCTTTCTGTGCCAGGCGTCAGATGCCCGACTGTGGGCGCCTGCAGATGAAACACACAAGCACACACAACCGTTGGGATTTGGGGAAAACAAAGGCACACATGGAAGGTGCATTCACTGGGAACGTCTCAAGGGGAAAGGTTGTGGAAGAGAGCATGCTTTGCTGGCTAAAGGCCCCGGGTTCCATTACCTGCACTGTCACTAGGGGGAAATCTCATGTCTCAGGGACAGGGGCATGTGATTCCTTGGGAAGAGGCTGCCAGTCAGAGGGGGAAGCTGCTGAGCTAGAGGTGGAGAACCTTTAGCCTGCAAGGATAATTGGGCCCACTGTGCCTCCCCACTACATTTCTGTGTATCTATACTCAAAGGTAGCATGAGCTATGACATCAGGTGTAGGGCAGATGGGTGTGGCTTCCCTGAAATGACATTGCAGGCTATATATATATATATATATATATATATATATATATATATATGCATGCCAGTCTTGTGTAGTGGTTAGAGTGTTGGACTGGGTAAAGCTAAAGGAACCCTGGATGGTTAAGTCCAGTCAAAGGCTACTATGGGGTTGCAGTGCTCATCTCGCTTTCAGGCCGAGGGAGCCGGTGTTTGTCCACAGACAGCTTTCTGGGTCATGTGGCCAGCATGACTAAACTGCTTCTGGTGCAACGGAACATCGTGATGGAAACCAGAGTGCACAAAAACACCGTTTACCTTCCCGCCTCAGTGGTACCTATTTATCTACTTTCACTGTTGTGCTTTCAAATTGCTAGGTAGGCAGGAGCTGGGACAGAGCAACGGGAGCTCAACCCGTCACGAGGATTCGAACCGCTGACCTTCTGATCGGCAAGCCCAAGAGGCTTGTGCCTCTCAATCTAACCTACCTCACAGGGTTGTTGTGATGAATGAATGGGTAGGAGGAGAACTATATATACCACCTTGAGCTACTTGGAGTGAAAAGGTGGGATATAAATGTAATAAATAAATAAATATAGAGAAGCCTCTCTTGCTTGAATACCTATTGGAACATTTGGGTGGCACTTGCTGAGCTCAGTGGCATAGCAAGGTCAGGTGGTACCCATGCGGAAAATTTCTTGTCAAACCCCCCCCCCCCCAATTGAAATTATATTCAATGTATTCACAGTTATTGTTACTATGACCCGGCAGGGTTTTCCTTTTTCTTTATTTCTTTTATAAATTTGCAATTAAAATTGATTGTTTAAAAAAAGTGTAGGGAAGGTAAAGACGCCATTCAATGCCAAATGAGTGTTGCTGGCAACACCCCCCACCCCACCCTGCCCACGATGCCTTTGCAAGCCCTGACATAATCTCTGCTGCTCAGGAAGTCACAGGGATTTGTAAAGGCCAGCAAGCATCTGATTGGTAGGGATAGGGGCAGCCAAAGCCCTGTGCTTTTGCCTGGGCGGTTTGATGTCAAGCTGCCCAGGTGAAACAAAATGGGTCACCTGAAGTCATTCTGAACGTGGGACTTTCTGCTTGCAAGGGATACTCTCTGCCATTGGGCTCCACGAGGCCACAGGTTTCCTCGTCCCTGTCCTAAATAAAAGAGACATCATGCAGTGTTGAAAAGAAACTGCAAAGAAGAAGGGCATCTGTGGGCCACCAAGTAGAGGAGGAGGAAGGGGAGATGAAGAGGCGGAAGAAGAGCGGGAGGAGATGGAGAAAGAAGGAGGAAAACAAGGAGGAAGAAAAGGAGGATAGATGACAAGAAAAACCTCTCTTTCTCTTTCCCTCTCTTTCTCTCTCTCTCTCTCTCCCTCTCCCTCCCTCCTCAGCCACCTCCTTGAATCCAGGCCAATCCTACAGCTTATGGGATTCCCATTAGACACACTTGATACTTAACAGCTTTGGCGTCTGCCATAGCTGCGAGTGGGAAGGGAGAGAACCGCTGGGCGATGTAATATAGCAAAATCTGCATACGCCGCCCAAGCTCCGTGTCCCTTTGCACTGTTGACTTAAAACTTACAAGCTACAAGCTGTGGCATCTACTCAGACTGCATCAGCCCTCCCCGCCCTTGATGCTGGCCTCACAGACGCTGCCAGCTACTCACATTTTTTTCGTCTCCAGCCACCTCATTAGACCAGGAGGATATTTCGTTTCTTGTGACCGCCCTATCCGATTTTCATATATCCCATCTTAAAAAAAGGGGGGGCCCCCCTCCGTTTCCAGCAAGAAAACACGATGCAAATTTCTGTGCCGAACGGTGCCTTGCTCCTGCAGGCAACATTGATAAGAAGCTCAGTAGCAATCGGTAGAGGCAGTGTGTCCTAGTGGTTAAGGGTGTCAGGCTAGAGCTTTGGAGGCTACAGTTCAAATCCCCCACTCAGCCACAATGAGAAGGTGCTTGCGTGACCTTGGGCCAGTCGCTGCCTCTCAGCCTAATCAGCTGCACAGGGTTGTTGTGAGGGAAACATGGAGGTGGAAGAGTGCCCATCACCTCGAGCTGGAATAGAAAATAAATAAATAAATAAATAAATAAATAAATAAATAAATAAATAAATGTGATCTTATGCAAGTACTTTCTTGTGGGTAAGTCGCATTGAATGCTGCACCTATTTGTTAGGGCTGTGCTGGATCATAGAATCATGAACCAAAGAATTGAAGAGTTGGAAGGGACCCTAAGGGCCATCTATAGTCGAAACTACTGCAATGCAGGAATCTCAGCGAAAGCATCCATGAGCAGAAGTTCTTCCAGATGTTTAGCTAGAATCTCCTTTCTTGTAGCTTTAAACCATTGATTCCAGCAGGAGAAAACAAGTTAGTTCCTTCTTCCATGTGACAGCCCTTTGTGATATTTGAACACGGCTATCATTATCTCCTCTCAGTCTCCTACATACCCAGCTCCTTCAGCCGTTCCTCATAAGGCTTGGTTTCCAGACCCTTGATCAACTTGGTTGCCCTCCTCTGCACACGTTCCAGCTTGTCAACATCCTTCTTAAATTGTGGAGCCCCAAATTGGGCACAGTATTCCAGGTGTGGTCTGACCAAGGCAGAATAGAGTGGTACTATGACTTCCCTTGATCTGGACACTATACTTGTGTTGATGCAGTCTAGAATAGCATTTACCTTTTCCCCCCATTGATGCATCACATCATGAAGTGAACTGAAAAGATTTAGGATTTGTCAAGAGTGTGTTGAGGTGGTCTTGGATTGCCCCAGTTCAGATCCACCTGGAGCAATCCAGGTCTGTCCAAAGTGGGGTTGTCAAGCAGGGTCTCTAACCTGTATTGTCTCCTTCACTCCCACTTTGAATGCACATTTAATTAGGGTTATATATTCATTCATTCATTCATATATATTCATATTCATATTCATTATATATATTCAGGGTTATATATTCAGTTAAAGCCATTTTCCCAGTAGTGCTGTATGGAAGTGAGAGCTGGACCATAAAGAAGGCTGATCGCCGAAGAATTGATGCCTTTGAATTCTGGTGCTGGAGAAGACTCTTGAGAGTCCCATGGACTGCAAGAAGATCAGACCTATCCATTCTTAAGGAAATCAGCCCTGAGTGTTCACCGGAAGGACAGATCCTGAAGCTGAGGCTCCAATACTTTGGCCACCTCATGAGAAGAGAAGACTCCCTGGAAAAGACCCTGATGTTAGGAAAGATTGAGGGCACAAGGAGAAGGGGACGACAGAGGACGAGATGGTTGGACAGTGTTCTCGAAGCTACCAGCATGAGTTTGACCAAGCTGCAGGAGGAAGTGGAAGACAGGAGTGCCTGGCGTGCTCTGGTCCCGGGGGTCACAAAGAGTCGGACATGACTAAACGACTAAACAACAACAACAACATTCATTGCAACAACCCTGCCAGGTAGGCTAGGCTGAGAGACAATGACTGGCCGAAGGTCACCCAGGGAGCTTCATGACTGAGAGTAGATTTAATTCATGGCCTGCTAGACTTTATTCTGACACTAATCACTAATTTACTCTAATCACTACACCCACCACAGACCCCCCCCAAGTGTCCCTGTTTTCCAGGGACAGTCCCAGATTTACAAAAACTGTTTTCATTTCTGAATTGAACCTGGAATGTCTTGCTTTTCCTTAGGACGTCCCTATTTTCATCAGAGAAATGTTGGAGGGTATGGAGTTATGCAAACCCCGAGCCAAGTAGATAAGTAACTATACAACCTTTAGAAGGCAGCTGAAGGCAGCCCTATATAAGGAAGTTTTTAAGTGTTTAATTTTTTTATTACTGATATATATATGTTGGAAGCTGCCCAGAGTGGCTGGGACCACCCAGTCAGATGGGCAGGGTATAAAGATGAGAATGATGATGAAACAGGACATTCCTATTTTCATTAGAGAAATGTTGGAGGGTATGGGCTGTGGTTTTTTTTTAAAAAAAATGCACCCCCAATGAGAACTCATTTCCCCACACCCCAAATCACTCAGGAAGTAGGATGCATTTTAATTAGAAAACTAGAAGATCAAGGAACCAGGTTTTAGCTGAGCTGTGCATTCTGGGTAATATTTGAAACTCACCACCCTGAAGGGCCTATTCTCTATATTTAGCTTTCCTCTTCGGAAAGGTTTTTTGAGGGCAATGGCTAATGCCACTGGTGTTATGTTTCCAGCCTTCTAGGTGTTGCCTTTCTCGGTTCCTCTGCTGGTCTTAATGGTTGGTCTGTGGGTTGGTTTTATTTTATTTTTAGGGTTTTAAGTGTTGCTGCTTTGACAGTTTGGCACTTTCTTGAAAGGGATGCGCATCACTGTGAGGGCCCTTGGGCAGAAAGGGTGACTCACCGATCAATCGGTCCATCCATTTGACTGTGTTGGGGTGACCTCGTCCTTTGCTGTTTGGGGGGTTGAAAGGAAACTGTGGCCAAACTGTCGCATTCTGCTAAAAAGCTGAAAGTCATCCCATCAAAACGATATCGCAACCTGTGTGCAGGATCCTTCTGGTGCTGTCAGAGAAGGCAGAAGTGTGTCCCTATTTTCCAGGGACAGTATCGGATTTACAGAACCTGTCCCAGTTTCTGATTTGATCCCGGAATGTCCCACTTTCCCTTAAGATGTCCCTATTTTCATCAGAGTTCTTGGAGGGTATGGGACCCCTGAGCCAAGGAGATAAGTAACTATACATATCTGAAGATATCTGAAGGCAGCCCTGTACAGTGGTACCTTGGTAGTCGAACAGAATCCGTTCCAGAAGTCCGTTCGACTTCCAAAACGTTCGGAAACCAAGGCGCAGCTTCCGATTGGCTGCAGGAAGCTCCTGCAGCCAATCAGAAGCCATGCCAGCTGCGTTGGACATTTGGGTTCCAAAGAACATTTGCAAACCAGAACACTCACTTCTGGGTTTGCGGCGTTCGGGAGTTGAAATGTTGAAATGTTTGGCTTGCAAGGGGTTCAGGATCCAAGGTACAACTGTATAGAGAAGTTTTTTTAATGTTATTCATTATATTTTTAATATATGTTGCCCAGAGTGGCTGGTGCAACCCAGTCAGATGGGTGGGCTAAACACCACCAACAACAAGAAGAAGAACAGAACATCCCTATTTTCATTGGAGAAATGTTGTAGGGTATGTAGTACACCTCTCTGATTGGTCACATAACACAAAGAGGGGGACTCCCATACATGCAAACTTCTTCCTCCTGCTTTCTTCCCTCATCATAGGTCTTTGCATACTTTTTCAGCTAGTACATGAAAACTGACTTTGGGCCACCATGGCTGCAATGAGAACTTCATGGACGACTTCCAGTCATGGGCTACCTCTAACCAGCTATTAGGTCCATTATTAGGTCTATGTGCAACAAACGGCTTGTGTTTGCTGGAAAAGGGTCAAACCAAGGTCAGGATAAATTATCTGGCTAACAATGTGTGTAGCCTCCTGAAACACTCTGACCCACCACGCCTGTTCCACAGCACCACAACATGTGCAACACCATCCCAATCTGGTTGCACTCTCTGCAGCAGAGCATGCTCTGAGCAGGTTCTTCTTCTTCTTTGAAGAGGTTCCAGAGAAGGGCATCTCCCTTATCCAGCCCCATTGATAACCGTCAAGGGAATGGGAGATAGATAGCTGTGTATTTATAGTTCTGTGTGCACGCTGGTCAGCATCTTCTTCCAGGGCTTTTACCTCCCTTTTCCCAGTGGTGTTGTGGAGGCAAGCTGGGAGTTACATCAAGGGAACGCATTAAGGCACCATCGGCAGGATGGTAGGGGCACCTTTGGATCCAGCTCCCCAGCTGCTCAATTATTTACATCTCATAATTCCCAGCAAATCGCTGGCTGTTTATTTGTGCTCATGTATAATTGAAGCGTTTCCTTGAGCCCGAGCCAGATCTCTGCTCCCACGATTATCTGGCCACGCTCTTTGAAAGCCATTTGGTAAACTCTGCAGAGATTTCAAGGAGGGTCTCCAGAGTGACTGGCCATCCATTGAGGAGACTCCCTTTTAATTTTTGGCTTCTGCGGAGACTTGATGGATGGTTCATCATGTCTTAATTGACTGGACCGTGCCATTTAAAGGGAGTACATTCCTTTTTTGAAAGTGGGGGAGAGATCTCTCCATGTAGGGGATTCCACCTTTGCAAAACCAAGCATGCTGTCATTCTATACCACTGGCTTCTGAAGACCTAGAGGAGGGGGTCCTTCATCCCACAAAGTTATCCCTTTCATACATGGTGGAATTTCCTCTTATGCCCCTGAGCCACACACCCTTATCTGCTCCAGAAGGCTAGCAGAACCTGAAGAAGGAACCTGAAGAAGACATTGGAGCCATAGGGGTGGGGAGGAAGAGGAGATCCCCTGTGCAAGTGG